ATTTACGAAGAAATACGCAATTATCGAAGAAGCGCGAAGGGTGCAGAATATCCAGTGTTCGGTAAACTTCGACGGTGTCTATGTCAATGCTACACAGCGTGGCACACATAGCATATACAATTAAGCCGATTAACACCTTAAACAATAGGCGTTGCGAGTCTGTTGTATTACTAGTCTGAGACACGGCTTATCAGCCACCTCAAGTGCCAAATCCATGAAATAAACAACCAATGTCAAGAGAGTAGCCTAGGTGTTAAAAATGGATTAAGTACTGGCAAACCATCTTCTGCATAGGTATGTCTCTAAACGCATGCTTTTTGGTTGATATAGTCATCTTTTTTGAACTCAGAAGCCTGCAAAACCTAATATTACATGTGAGAACGAAACAAATTCGTCGAGATTTCACGTTTTCCTGTGAAAGGGATGCTGGCTGTTTCCTCTCCGCGTATACTAGTACTGGTACTACCATGGAAGGTACTAACGGTAGTACCTTTCATGGTACTACCAACTCTAACCATGTCCCCATTTGGTGACGCATGTCAAGCTATAAATGGGCATCAAAACTCATTTCGCCCAATATTTCTCTTTTATAACATTTTAATCAACAGCATATCGCTTAATTTCCGACTGGAAAAATTACCATGTTTTTATCCTTTTTTTTTTTCTCACTCGCTTATTAAAAACACTGACCGCTTGTTCAAACATTGGCACATGAGTTGTCGAAATGGTTGTTTTAGTGCTAAAGTTTGAGGATTCAATGAGTATTAACCATTATTTAATTTTGAACGACACTTCCAAACCATCATACTTTGTATCATTCGTGAACGCAACTTGAACTATGAACGTTCAACAACAAGCTGATAGAGCGAGACTGTGTTCCGTTTGAATGCTACCTCGTTTCAACAATATGATTATAGAGACATTTACGTAATACAGGCAATGCTAACTCCTTAGGGCAGAGAGCAGAGACTCCAGGAACATATTGATGCCACGGCCATGTATTTAAAATGCGATCGTGCAGACGGGTGATATTTCTGGGTTTGCACACTCAAAAATTAAGAGGAAATTATTCAACATGCAAAAGCGAGTGCTGTACAATCAGGTCCTTTGTAAAAATACAATCAGCCAAGATCTATATCATTCTGAAGCACGCCAGAAACAGACAAAATGCAGTTTTAAATATTGACACCGTTCATATTTTTTAAGCTTAAGCGATGATCGGCTACGTTCTGCTGAAGATATAAGACTTCACTTTCGGAGTTATTACCAAAGATATTGTACGACAGCAAAAAAACAACAACATTTGGTTATGTGAAATGGATTAGCATTCATGTAGGTCCAATCAGTACTGTTGTATCGTCTATTTCGTCAACCGAACATTACTACCCGGACCTGCTCGTCAATTATTATTGCAAATGTCATTTCTTTCTCACTGGTCAATGAATCCAGAATCAATTAGGTATAAGTACGTTATTTTAGAATTATTTTCATTTGGTTTCACGTGATAGTTAATCTGATTTATCATATAGCATTACAAACAGGAAGTCCTCAGCATGGATCAGAGTACTAGTATACCCCAGACCACTCGTTTTGATGTGGCTGTGGGTAAGAATAGAAAATGAGAATGTTTTTTTACTATTGAAATGAAATTATCACGTCTAGGGGTGAATTGTTAATAGGTGAAGTGATGTTAAAAACATAAGTAGTTCATCGTCTTGCGTAAAGCGCAACAACAAAGGTTTATTTTTCAACACATATCTCCAGTCAAGACAATATAGTAGGAAGGACAAGCAACTCCAGCAATTCTATTGTAGCAAGGTAGGCTGGAAAAAAGTTAAGCTGATTTAAACTAACCGTTTACATAAACTAAATGTTTATTTCGATTTCTCGTTAAATGCGTGTGTTTAGGCGGCGAGAGTCGTGCACTCTCGCAAAATGCGTAATTTTGTTGACGAGAGTTGGCTACGGTATTCTAAATGACCGTTGCTGATCACGAGTTCCCGTGTGTAGATGATTTTCTCGATATTTTTTTTTTCGGATTGTGTGTGATTCAGAGCCCGGGCATCAACAATGAAAATAGCGAAGATTTGCGTTTTCTTGATCGTCACGTAAAAGAAACCCTTTGAAACGCTAACAAAAAAAACACGAAAATAGTGAAAATAAATAATAAAGAAAATCATGCCTCATTTATACATTAAAACAGGGTATAACGTAGGTAGACGTGCATTCAGGCTAAAAGACTGGACGTGTAGTCAAGATGGCCACAGACGTGAAAACGAAAGGCGGAATGAAAGTCTATTAAAAAAAATGCAAGACAGAGAACAACAATAAACAAGCGTAGTCGGTGAAAATAACAAAATTTGAAGATTCATGCATCATGAAAACAATAATATTCGTGTATTTTGTCGAAAACAGGGTACAACCTTAGACATGAATTCCGCTTGAAAGTGTGTGAGCTATAGTCAAGATGGTGACAGACGGGAAAACATACGAATTCAAAATCTGTTTGAAAAAAAAAATGCGTGGCAGAGAACAATAAAAAACAAGCATAGTCGGTGAACAATAACATAATAAGATTCATGCATCATGAAAAAAAAATATTCAAATATTTTGTCGAAGCATTACTGCCGTCTGAAACTAACTTTTAATTTTATTCAACTAAACAGGAACATACCGGTATATTAAAAGTAATATTTACTAGTGAACCACATTCACGAGAACATCTGATAACTTTTGTGTGTTCGAAAGATGCGTATTGCATAAAGAAAACGAATCGTTTGGGGAAAGATACTTGTAGTTCCATACGATAGTAGTGACATCGCATCGAAGTAAATATGACGCCATTGTTTACTTGCTCATTATAATATTCCAGCCCAGCTTGCATTGGGCATACGGCGTTTGACTTTGGTGTTACTATACTACTATACTGTCTATGGTTAAACAGGGCCCAAATTGATAGGGAGGAAAACACGGAAGTGGAAGAGCTGTCCATGCATTGACCAATCACATAAGAGCTCACAAACACCAAAGAAATATTTCTCTGACTTGATTTCACTGATTATGTTCAAATTTTAAATATTCATTATATATCATGTCATAGATAGACAGATATATTGGTTTGACGATCCTATTCAAAATGGCTGAATGGTGGTCATTTTTGTGCTAAAAAATCATCAAATATCAAGCATTTCTGGCATTTATGGATGGATTTCAGTTAAACTTGGTACATACATTAGACATTACGGGTTCCTGATGCACGTCATTTTATTTTTCAGATTGGATTTAAAATGGCTGACTGGCGGCCATTTTGTTTTTATGATTGGGCTTCTTGAGCCATCTCTGACATGCTTTACCTGATTATGTTCAAATTTTATATATTCGTTATACATCATGTTATATATATACATGTATTCAAAATGGCTGATTTTGAATGCTGTTCCAGAGCAATATCTCTCAATATGGACAAGTACTTGTTTCATATAATCATATTCCTGACATGGTTATATTCCAGCTATATTACTATAAACAAAACTATATACATGTATCTTAAATTTGATAACTAACGGAACTGTGCCATGCATGGCTTGTTTTGAATTTCAATTCAAAGAGGTGGGATGTTCAGGCAATGTTCTCCATAAAGTTAAAGTGCTGACATCAAATACTTCTATTTTGATGAATAATAAATACATTATATTTGTCTACTCACAGTGCCAAATGGGGGACCTGTTACACCAGAAGCACTGCCAATACCGGAAAATTTACAAGAGTTGGTTATCAAGGATAATGAGAGATTTGAAGATTGGATTGAAGAGATGTTATCAATGAGGGTAAAGATCAAATAAATTAAATGATATGAGCTTATCATGAGAGTATCACAAAGTATG